GTGCGGGGGCGCAGCCCCCGCGGTACGGTACAGGGTTAATTTTGTAATTATGTACCAGGGTTTTCTATTATAAATAGAGATGTAACCTAGACCTAAAATATTTTTTTTGAATAAAAACTTCTAGCGCTGCCTAGGCACCGATGACGTAAGCACATTGCCGAACCTCGTAAAATTCTCGTGTTCTTTTGTTTTCTTTACCCGTTTTCGTCAACAGGTTTTAACCCATTTTGATTTTATTCCTTCTCGTAGCTTGCTATTGCTGACCTCTGTGTATCCTCTGCATATGAAGACTGTTCAACTATGTATTTATTTATTTATTTATACATGCATTGTATTTTATCTTTATTTTTTATTTTCTGAATGCCGGAGGTCTTCCACGGAAGCTGCTCTCATCCTGGCGTTGGGGGCAGCCTACTACCCTACCTCCCCTTACCCCATTGCATATGGAAATAGGGTTTTGTTGTTGTTGTTGTTGTTGTTTTAGTCTAGTAGTTCGGTTTTCTACCTATGTTATGCTTTTTGTTGTTTCTCATGGGTGGCAGGTTCAACAGGTAGATGTGAGTAATGTGTTTCTCAAAGGAGATTTGTGTGAGAAAGTATATATGAGACAACCTGAGGGGTTTGAACAAGTTGATCAAAATGGTGAACATCTTGTCTTTAGGTTAAAATTGTGTTCTATGGGTTAGGTTAAGCACCACAAAATTGGTTTAATAAACTATGTGACTATCTATATTCACTTGGTTTTTATTCCTCACAAGTAGATAATTCATTATTTGTTTGTGTAACTAATGATGATGTTTTGTATGTTGCAGTATAAGTTGATGACATTTTGGTAACAGGGTCATCAAATGCTTGTGGTTGACAGTTTATAAAACATCTCAATGACAAGTTTTCTTTGAAGGACTTGGGAATTGTTCGCTAATTTTTGGGAATTGAAGCAGTTCATGTTGAGTTTGGGCTATTTCTTAGCCAAAGGAAATATGTGGAAGAGCTTCTCAACAAGTTCAACTTGAGCAATGCTAGACCTATTGATACACCTATTTCTGTTGTTCCTAAGCTGATTAAATCAAGCGGTAGTGCACCCGTTGATGCTCAAATGTATAGGAATGTTGTTGGGGCATTGTTATACGTCTGCCATACGAGGTCAACCATATCTTTTGCCGTTCACAAAGTTGCCCAATTCATGTAGAATCCTTGTGAACCTCATTGGTCAGTTGTAAAGAGGATTTTCAAGTATCTAAAAGGCACCTTAGAGTATGGGTTGTGGTTAGCTCCACAAAAAATTGAACTTTCCTTGAAATGCTTTACTGACGCGAATTGGGGAAGTGATCCAGATTATCGTCGCCCAGTTTCTGGCTATTGTGTGTGTTTGGGCCAGCACATGATGTCTCAGTGCTCGAAGAACCAACAATTTGTGTCTAGGTCCACGACTGAAGCTAAATATTGTAGCTTAGCAGATGCTACATCTAAAACTTTTTAGGTTAAAGTTGTTCTAAGTGACATGGGGGTGAAATCCATCAAAACACCTACTATCTGGTGTGACAACACTAGTACAATTGCTATGGAAGCTAATTCGGTTCTGTATGCTAAGGTCAAGCATGTATACCTTGATGTACACTTTATTCGTGAAAAGGTACTTGGTCAGCTTCTGGAAGTCAACTATGTTCCAGCCCAGTTCCAAATTGTTGATATTCTTACAAAACCTCTTGCTACTGCTCGGTTTCAAGAATTAAGAGAAGGTTTTAAGGTTGTTTCTCTTCAATCTATTTCAGTTCGTAAATAATGTTTTCATGTGGTTTCTCTTTTTGTTGTTTTGTGTTTCTTTTGTTGAAGGATTGAAGGTTAGTTGAAGCAGGGTAAATGTTAAAGGCTAGTTGAATCAGGGGTAAATGTTGAAGGTCAAGCATGCTACGATTTTGTTGTTAAAGGCTGTTGAAGTTTGTTGGATCTGTTATGTACAGCTAGCTTATGTGGGGTCAAACTCATAGTGTTGACCCATAAAGCTAGAGTAGGGCTATATAAATGTGCTTAATGGGTAAAAGGCCTTGATCATCTTTGGCATACATTTTTTTAACGTTTTGTTTAATGCACGACGGCTGTAGCACAATAGCTTTCCCTTCTCTAGATGGTTCATGCATCGAATGGAGTCTTTCTTTATTCCTAAGCTTAAACGTTTACTCTTCCTTATTGTGTATAGTCTCTCTGTGTTTTGTTTCTTTGTTTCATCAAATCTATTGAATTGACAGTCCATTAGTATTATTCTAACAAGAATAATGCAGGGTCATAGAGAAACAAGAAAGAATAGATGAAATTAAAAATAAAAATAAAAATAAAAATGAAATAAAAAGAATTTATATTTATATTATTAATAGTAAACTGTTTGTTCCATTACAAAGGAAATCAATATTTTATGGGGAGAAAAATAGTTCAACCCAAGCTTGCTAAGGTTTTAGCATGGAGGGTGGGAGGATCCAACAAGGTGGTGGTAGCATGTTGTACGAAGAAAACTCATAGATCGACTTAAAAATTTTCTTTCGAGTTGTATATGCCCATGTCATGTTAACCAATCAACAAATCATATTCTATTCGCTCCAAGTTATCATCGGTGAAATAAATCCAGTTTTTTTGGTAGCTGGGAAAAAAGTGAGTCGAGATCGAAACAAATTGATTTTCTCCAAGAACAGAGCTCGATCGTCTAAAGATTCGACCTCCACCCATTTTCGTCCATTAGAATCCAACTTGTAAATTTGGAACAAAATTGTGTAGCAATCAGTTTAACAATCCCACTTATGTAATAATGACCATATATCATTTAGGCAACATATCTGATTATATATCAACCAGGTGATATAATTGACCACAAAATTCAGGCGGTAGAATAACAATATACTGACACAAGTGCACTAAGAACTTAAAAATAAACTAAGGCTTAACTGATAAATTTAATAGAATAGAACACTTTTATTGGTACAAAATACAATTACAATACTACGTACTTACCTCATTATTTTTCTTTTCTTTTCTCTACGTCTAAACTCTATTTCTCTAACTCATACCTTTTGTACTCTTTTCACCCTCTTTTTCACTCTTACTGCAATAGTAAAACTCACACCTATTTATAGATTCTAGTGACCATCGAATTATTGACACATGTTAACATTTTAGCTGTTTAACATTACAAATATATAGATTCTTTTAATATATAATTCCATATATAATATTAAATATTACAAATATTTATATTTTATGAAACTTCTACACCTCTATTATTTATATATTATTTTAAATTCTTAATATATATTATTCTTGGTGAGGTGCATGGCTAACATCGAGAATAGTCTAGGAATCGTCTCTGACACTTCGGTAATACACAATCTCTTCATCTCTATTGCATAACAGAACAAGACCGTAGTTTCTTTGATTTGAATCTGGTTTTCTTGTCAGAATTGTTTTTTTGAATAAAACACGCTCTCACTTCTTGTTTCCTACACCACTTAAACAAAAACCTGCACTTCTCTTATAATCCTCGAAATAATCAAGTTTATAGGCGCCATCGATGTTTATTTCCAACCTTTACAAGCCTAGAAGACGGATAACCAAAGGGAGTTGTATTTTAACTTGCCTGAAAGGGTTGAACAGAAAAGGGATTGCCTTGTGCCCCAAGAAAACTAACCATCAATGTTGATGATAGAACGCAATAAATCGGTGGGAACTAAGTCGAAGATGCTAATGACGATGAATCTAGTCTTGTTTTCCTTCTTTTCATCAGGTTTCTCATAGTTTGTAATCTTTTCATTGAGCTTTTCTTGATTTGTGATACTTCCATCGTGAGATAGAACAATAATAAAAAGAGAAAACCCTCATGATATATATAAAGATTGAAACTTGGAAATCAAGTTACTTGTTATCGTCAATCCTTAACGTTGTTTTAGCTATTAAATATCTGATTAAATAATGAGCACAAAACTAAAGATCTATTTCTTTGAATTTTGATAATATATAATTTAAAGTGATGAGGATTGGGGTTATCTATAAATCAAAATCAACACTAATATAAAGACTTTAAATAATTTTTTGTTACTATAATGACACTTTAGTTTTAATTTTTAATTTACCTTTTTAAACTATATTTTTGAAATGGTTAATTTTTATATTATTAATTAATAATTTTATTTATAAGTTTCGTAGTAATTTTTTTTATATTAATTCACATAACCTTTAGAATTTTATATTTAATATTTTAGATAAATGAACATAGATAATTTAACTTTAGAATTTCATTAATAAAAAAATTTAAAATTGCATATTCAACTTTAAAAATTCAATAGGATCATAATATGTCATCATAAAATATTATCACGTCAGCATTCAAAATTAAAAAAAAAATCACGTAATCAGTTTTGTTTATTTTTCTTAGTGAGTGATTAAAAAGAAATAAAAACATAAATTTATATATGATTTAAAAAATTGTTGAATAACCAACAGGAACCACAAAATAGTTAAATGACTAAAGGCATAGTTAATAATATCTTTCTTTAATTTTAAACCTTCTCGGCATATCCCAAAATCCCAAATCCTGCTAGTTTTTAGTTTAATTGACAAGTTGTTATAGATTTCAAAAGAAGATCACATTCTTCAAGTAGTAAATTTCTAAGTTTGTTAAAGAATGCTGGTAAATGATAATATTACATTTGTCGAATCAAGACGATGTGCCAAAGAAAACATCACTAAAAGACTTTTCTCACAAGTTGCTTTCTACTCAACCTATGGGTTTTGTCTTCTTCCCTGCATTTTAATGTGATGTGTTCTTCTGACCTAATCTCATCATACTTGTCCAATTACCGTATCCATTGTCGTCTTTCAAAAACTTAATTTTTATAATTCCTTTGCTATAAATACACTCTTCTCCCGGCATTTGTTCTTGCAATTTCGCATTTCATACACTTTTAGAAACCCCATTTTATTTGTTTTGGTAGTTCAGTTGCGTAAGAAATCTTGAGAAGAAAAAGGGTTAGCCATGGAAGGTTTAATTCCTTATCTGATCCATGCCATGCGGAAGCAAAAACCCACCCACCGTTACCGGTCGATGTCCGTTGGGTCTAGCCGCGGCTACCGCTTGTTAATCGGACAGTCACCGAAGGAGTCAGTCGAGGGGTCGATGCATAGGCGGACGAGGTCGGAGTTTCAGCCGCCGCAGACGGTGGAGTTTTACGAGCAAAGGTCGGGTCTTGGTTTGCGTTGTCCAAAGGACCACAACAATGGCTCTTCTTCTTCTTTAAACTACCCTTCAATGGCTGGTGGCTCGAAGTCGAAGGTGAAAAACGTTCAGGTTTCGGATATTCGACGACGACGATAATCGACTTTGTAAAAGAAAAGGAAGCAGAACCGTTCGGTTTTGAAGATTTGTCTCTTTATTTTTTTTGATTATCAACAAATGATGATTGTTTTTTTGTAGTTTAATTGTATTTTTTTTGGTTGAAATTTAACGGTGTTTGCATTAACTAAAAACAGTATAAGCAGTTACAGCATTGAAAATAAAGTCTGGAACTACAGACTCAAAATCTAAAGGCGTTGACATGAAAGAAACATACTTTGCAAGAGCATGAGCACCGACATTAGCTTCACGACGAATATGACGGACAGAAATTTGAGGGTGAGCATCAAGAAGCCGATTTAACGGTGTTTAATTGTAAAATTTTCAATTCAGTACTTAAACTTTCATTTTTTTTCAAAATCATACCTAACGTTTAGATTTTATTTCATTTTAGTATCTCACCGTTAAAAACTTAAAGCATTTAGTACCTGAACTATCAGTTTTGGTCCATTTTAGTTCTTAAACTTTTAATTGTTTTCAAAACTTAATGTTAAATTTTGAACAATGGTACTAAAATGAAATAAAAACTAAACATTATGTATGATTTTAAAAAATTAAAAGTTTAAATACTGAAACGGATAAAAACCAATAGTTTAGATACTAAAATCATAATTTACCTTAAGGAAAGGAAAGACTGAAGCAAAATATCAACCTTTAAGTCGTAAATAAGACGGACTATTAACCATGGTTTTCAGAATCGAATCGGTTAGTGAACCGGTCATGCTATCGGTTCACTGGTTTAATCGGTCGAATCTGTTCGACCGATCGAAAGAATCGGACGATGTCATAATTATTTAAAAAATTAAATAAAAATACCAAAAATATTTAATAAAAAATAATTTTTTATATCACAAGTCATATTCAAAGCAAGTCATAACATATATAAGTTAAAAACCATAAAATCAAGTGAAACAAAATGATTCAAATTAACTACAACATAATATTTAAGGTAAAACATATTAAATAATAAATATAATTATATAACTATAATTAAAAAATAAATTTGGGTTAAAAAAATCATAACAAAATGATATTGTTTAGTTTAATTTTTTTAAAAAAACAATCTCACATGGCTAAGAAACATAGAAGAGCATCCCAAAAGTCTAAAGAGTAAAAATATGAGAACAAAATAATAGAAACATAAAAGAGCATCACAACTAACTTCTATAAATAATAGAGGTAATTTGGCATTCAAAATCATGGAGCCTTTTGGTGAGCATTGAGTGAATTATTCTTTCACTTCAATCAAGCTCGAATTTTAGGCTTCAATCGAGCTTCTAAATTTTTTTTGAGTTCAAATCTTTTTGAGTTCAAGTTTCAATATTATATTTCGAGTTTGAGTTGAACTTGATAATTTTTAGTATGTGAGTTTGAGTTGAGCTTACTTTTAAAGTTTTGAAGTTCGAGTCGAGCTCAGCAATACTCGAGTTCGACTTGGCTCGTTTAACAAACGACGTTGTTTGGTTTAATTTTTTTTTTTAAAAAAACAAAAATCCCTGTTTTTCCCGGTTTTCAGTCGGTCTGGTTCGAACGGTTCAGCGGTTCTGGCCGGTTCACTAATAACGGTTCAACCGGTTTAGATTGAACCGAACTAAACAATAGTTTCCGGTTGAACCGGTTGAATCAATCGGTCCGGTCCGATTTTCAAAACAGAGCTATTAACACCCTTATAAATAATACGGTAAGATTGCATGGAATCGAATTGTAAGTAATTAGAGATCTATCATTTTTGGTAATACATTTGATCATATAGTCTGTTGCTTCGTTACCTTCTTCCGCTGTTAGATTGAACGTAATTATTTTAATGAGGAATAAATATTCAATTGAATTAAATGAAAACTTTTAAGTTAATTAAATAAATGAATGAAAATGTTTGAAGGATTGGAAAGAAAAGCTCACCAAAGTCAGGTCCATTCCACCAAACTCAATGAACATTTGTGGAGAATATGATAAAGGAAACTTGCCAAACCTACGTCCCAACCCACCTAATAACAATCTCAAGGTAAATTAGTCTTCCTTTTAATAGTCTCGTGTGTAGGATAATATTTGTTTAGAATTATTTTTAATTATTGATAATATATATATCTTATAGACATAATTTCTTGAATCTAAAACTTTTAAATAGAATAATATTAATTTTAACCACTAAAATCATTTGATGAGTTTAGGACAAGTCTATATCAAACTCGTACCGTCTTACATTGATATATTTTAATTTATGGGATATTCTTGTTTTCATACTCTTTCTAAATTTAAAAATATTATCACTTTTTTAATTTTACTAATATTATTTTTATAGATAAAAATCATCATTGACTATTATTATATTAATATTAATGTAACAATTTATTTGCATATATATACTTTTATGTGGATGAAATATAGTTTAATATTGTCACAAACAAGATAAGTACACCAATATAGTTTTATAAAAAGGTCCACCACCGAGTAGATGATCTTCCGTTCCGCAAGATGACAGAACCGGAAAAGCCCAGAACTCGGACATCTAAGGCGGCCGCCGGCCAAGACTCTGCAACCATGGCCAGTACCCACCGGAGGAAAAAGAAGAGGAGTAAAAGACACAAAAAGCAAGAACCAGCTGGACCAAGACTTTTCTCTGATTTTGGCAAGTTTGCCAATGGTTCGTTCTCTCATTTTCTAACTAGTGTTCTTGTTTCTAAAATTAGTTTCGTAAGGTTCTTGCGATGGCCAAGAATTGAAGGAATCAAATTACAATTACTGTAACATTTTTTAATTGTATTGTGTTTATTACAATAGCATAACAGTTTCGGACAATACTGCTATCGTTATATAAATGCTGCAATTCTGATAGTATTTCGGACTGTTTAAATCCTGCCCAAGATCAAAGGGCAATCACTAATTACCTGTTTGAATCTTTCCTGATTGCATGCTTATTTCATCTTCTAGATTTGCTGACAAAGGGCTACTGCCGTGACCAGTCACTGAGCATCTCCACCCACAGTTGTACTGGAGTGGTAAAATAGCAAATAGCAATAATATAATTATCCAAGTAATCTCTTAGTTTAATTGTAGTATTAGAATATTATTTGATGATTAAATTAACATTCCTTATTGATCTCGTGCTAATGATGTTGATTATATTTACGCTCACAAATCCGTTTAACCGTATCCAGATTGTAACTTCAAGGGCAGTGAGACATGGAAGACGATCAAGTACAGTCATTGGAGCAAAATATAATATAAGAATTCTGCAATCCAAGTGAACTTTGATACAAAATCAAGTGTACGTGCTTGTTGTTTATCTTAATTTATATGCTTCTCAGCTTCAGATTTTGAAAACTGTTATCAATTATAATTACAGGTTTCAACAACACTCACCTTTGGGGCTGAGTTTTTGCCATCGACACACATCAACGCTTCATTAAGATTTCCCGAGTATGATTTGAGTAAGGTAAGGCTCACGTAATCCGGACTACTGACTCTGAGTTATCGAAAGTTTCGAGTCATTCGATGTGATTGTGTCCACAAATGACGTGTTGGTTTCATTTTTTGCTTCAGATCAACCTAATATTCCATCGATCCTTTAGAAATGCAGCTTTATCCATCTCTGTTGGCCTAAACCAATCCCCTGTCTTAACACTTTCAACAACTGTTGGTACTTCAAGCATTGCAATCGGCATGGAGTCGATGTATGCAACCGCTTATCGTAGTTTCATTCGGTTCAATGCAGGCCTTTCACTCTCTAGCCGGAATCATGACGCTTCAATAACTCTGTACGTTGTTATACTTGAAACTGCAAACAACTGATAGAGATATATATGATCAATAAGGCTCTGCCCTTATCCTGCTATGCTTGAGGAAATTTCAGTGCTTGAGTCTTCATGTACGAATTCAGGGCAGAAAAGGGTTACCTTCTAAGACTAGCATACGCACGTCATTTCGGCCGACAGAGGAAGATTTCCGTTGTTGCAGAGGTCACAAGGGGGCTGTCCAACAACAAGAATTCCCTTGCGGTTGGAGTTTCATGCATTGTGGATAAACTAACAACAGCAAACGCAACACTAAACAACCGGGGGAAGCTTCAAGCCCTCTTGCTCCGTAAAATCGAACCGAAATCGAGGTTGAAAATTTCGGGCGAATTCGATATGAAAACTTTAGATAAAATCCCAAGAATAGGATTGGCTCTTGCTCTCATCATATGATACCTCTTTCACAAGCAGCAATAAGTTTAGAGTGTACGCTAAATGAGGATAACGATTTCCAAACATTATGATCCTAAAACATCTTTAACTTTTCGACATCCAGAGAACTTCAAAAAAACAGAGAACAACATCTTCAAAAAAGGAACCTTAAATATCCAATATCACTCAGAAAACCGTGACCAACTATAATCAAATTCACTGTCACCTGATCGTATCGATTTAGTCTACAAATAAACTTTATGATCCTATAGCTAAGACACACTAAAGATAACTATAAAACCTCTCGTACAGATTGGGAGACGGGATGCCATCTAAATAAAATCATCCCATCCTTGTTCATCTTTGCTCTACCTACTCGTAGAGATAAAGTCCTTTAACACCTATCAATGGCCAATTTGATACCATCAACACTACCAAGGAATACAGTCAGTAAAGATCAAGGACCAAAACTTCAAGAAGATGTCGATAAAGGACCAAATCAGGTAATAAAAAACAACCACAAACAGGCACTAATTATTTTAATTCATAACAGAGTTTTCATGGAGATTATTTGGTAAAGAGCAAAAGAAACCCAACAAGGATCTGTCTTTACATTGATGTCTGAAATGTCATTACAAAATCTTAAGCCTGGCAATAAAGTTGCAGAAAACAAAAGGGTCTCTCATTTCATCAAATTACGAAGGAAATAAAAGAAAAGTTGGAAGCCATTGTTGTGTCCTTTTTTTTTTTAACTCCTCATAGCTATAAAACAGGAGACGGCGGCCACAAGCAGCGAGAGAGCAAGAGAGCTGGCTTCGTCGAAAATGGCGGCGAATCTCAGTTCCTGCAAATCCCACAGAGTGGAAACCATGAAACGTACACCATCAACAATCGTAAACAAGATACCCATTATTCCC